TTTTTACTATATGCTTATTGAACATGGTGTTAAATTTTTTAAGTATATTTGAATTTAAATGATATGCATATAAAAATTATTTTGAATTGAGGAACATAATCCCAAGAAATAAAATAAATAATGCTTCAAAAATGCCTGGTGAATTAGGAGGAAAGAGGCAGATTACCCAATTAAAGTTAAAATAAATCAATTATTCCCCTGGCCTTCTGCTTCTCTTTGGTTTCAGACAAATCTGTAATAAAGCCATAAGCCAAATCTTCATTTTCATTGTTTTATTACTTTAGCCTAATCAGGAATAGCTTTATTCATTGCTAATTTATATAGCTGATTAAGTATATTTTCCAGGTAGTTAAAATTGGTGACTAGTCTAAATTTTCATACATAATCCCAAATGATTACAGTTTTACAGTAAGTAAAGATTTGAAATGTTGGCCAGGAATTTAAAACTTGAGATACTCAGAACAACAAAGAAAGGGTGGGGGGAACAGAATGACTGACTCTATCATAAACTACCTCCATATTGTACGATGCTCTCAAGTAAAAAAAAAAAAAATCACATTTGCATAATTAAAATCTAACAGCCAAGTAAGCACCAACATGTCACTGACTTACCAAGCAGGTCATTTTGTGGTAACCATTCTATTAGCTTAGTGTTGTTTCCTAGATTCTTTGGTTTGGGTCCAGAAAACCTAAAATGTACAACAGAAAAATAAAATCTTTCAAAAATCAAATCTTATGGTATGGGCTCTCTGGTTAAAATATTAAGATTTAACATGTTACGTGATCTTTTGTTGATATTCTTACAAATAAAGCCATGCTTCAGTAACAGTAAAAATTTGATTGTATTTCTTTTTTAGAGACGGGGTCTCACTTTGTCACCCAGGCTGGAGTGCAGTGGCGCAATAACAATGCACCGCAACCTCCCACTCCCAGAGTCTCAAGCAATCCTTCCGCCTCAACCTCCTGAGTGGTTAGGCCTAGAGGCATGCGCCACCATGCCTGGCTAATTTTTTTTTTTTGTAGAGATAGGGTCTTGCTTGTTCCCCAGGCTAGCCTTGAATTCCTGGCCTCAGTGAACCTCCTGCCTTGGCTTCTCGAAGTGCTGGGATTACAGGTGTAAACCATCACAGCCAGCCTAAATTCTAATCAAAAAAACTTTCATTGATTGAAGGATAAATTTGCTTATACAGAAATGTCATCTTCCACGGGCTCCTTTCACCTATAAACAGATGACAAAAAAGCAACCAAACAAACCAATGCCTGAAGTCATTCCCCACCAACACCAAGCAGCTGAAGCATGAAGGGCCAGGAAGGCCCACCCCTAGGCAGCTAGTGGCCCTAATCCTTGACACCCAGAGCCTGAGCAAACACACAAGTATTGAAAGAAAGAAGAAAGTACTCTTTATTAGCTTGGCCCCAGAGATGGGAGTTCTGTGGAAAAACAAGATAATTAGGCTGTTAGGATCCTGTCTCATCTTTAAAAGATAAACCATGCTTAACAACTAAAAGAATGACAAAAGAGTCCGCGCTGAGCACAAACTGTCCTAAATAAAGCAGGAGAGGCGCTTTCTGGGTTAAGTCAAGGAGAGGAAACCCAATGAGACTAGACTCTGAAGGGAAAAGTCCGGAGCAGTTAGAATACAATATGTATCCATTTCATACATCAGCCAGGGGGAGGGAACTAATTCTCATGCAGTTATTATAAAGGGAAAATCTATTACTCAGAGCCTACTTGTAATGGCTTGAGAGACACTTTATTCTAATTGTGGCAGAAACTGTGAGACCAATGTTTTTCACAACTATATCCCTAGAGCCCAACAGTAGTGGTATAAATATGTGCTAAATAAAGTGTTCAGGTCTGATTTGTAAACACCAGGTTGGAAATTCCAGAGACAGACATGGGTTAGCAGTGCCTCCCAAAGGAAGCAGAGATCAATCCATGGGTCGATCCTGACCAGTGTTAACTGGTAAGTTACTGTGTTTTTAAAGGCCTGGTTTCTTAAACACATCAAAAGTATTTGTGAAGGAGACAAAGGGGATGTCTAAAAGAGTCCATGAAATATTTTACCTATTTATTTCTTCATCCATCATTGTCTACCTCATTCCAAAACTGAATTGAAGGACTATATAGAAAGGTATGCAATTATAACTAAAATCTTTTTAAATGACAATAAATAATAGAGTAATTGAGGGTAGAATATAAAAGAGCATCCAACACAAGGATACATCATGTGAAATCTTACCTTCTTTTTATGCTATGAGTTACAGGTCTCTTTATCCATCATAGTCCTGTGAATTACTTCCTAGATTTCAATACGCTAAGGAACAAAATGAAAAGTCAGGGGCATCCTGCTAATTTTGCTAGGGACTCCATGTGCTGTTCTTTACTGGGACCTGTGGGCCAAACACGGGCATACTGAAAACTAACAGCAAAGAAACCATCTGCATTATTACCTTACCTCCAAATCACCTTCTGAGGCAATCTCCCCAGGGCTCCTGCCAGTTTGTTAGCAATGTCTTCAGACAGATACTTGACACCGGCTCCAAAAGATACCAGGACAAAGCCATGCTCATTAGCACCATTTACCCACCTTTGGAGATCCTGTAAATCAAAACATGGCAGTTAATTTGTGAAGAACTGTATAGTTCATGATCAGCCTCATCGACAGCCCAGTTTAAAAAAAAAAAAAAACAACCTTCAGGTAATTTTCTTAAACAATTAGAAAGATGAGGATATATTTTCCACTAACTGCTTTTCTTTAAAATATTTCATTTGACAACACTAACTGAAATAAGAAGGGCATATGGTTTACTTGGTAAGATCAATATGTAATAAACCAAAAAAAAAAAAAAATCAGTAGCTAATGGCCTAAGTCACAGACAGAAGTCAAAAATCTGAAAATGATGTTTGATACATGGTCAGATAAATATGTATGAGGATACAAGCAAAAGACGTGGATTGAATACATGACAAATCAATCATACTGACAAAAATCCATTAATGTGTCTTTGAAAAATTTTTGTCAATATGATTTATTTGTATTGAAAATGAAAGCAGTTCACTTTAAGGGATACCACCTTGCTTTATTTTATTCTACAAGCTTGTTTTTAATGGTACATACCAGCTATAATACAAGACACAAGCTTGTTTTTAATGGAAAGTCATCCCTTTGAATAAATCTTTGCCAAAGACACTGAGCTTCAATTTCCCAAATGCAAACTATTAATGATAAAGCCACAGCACTTTGAGGAACACGCTAATTCCACTGTAAGGACAACAAAACTTGCTGTCCATTTATATGGACAGCATTACACACTTAGTGCTAGAGCATAGTCATGAAAGCAGGGACCTCACCCACTCTGCATTCATAAGGTGCAGAGCCAGCTGTCAGAGCTCACAGACCCTGCAGGTCTCCGGCTCAGGACGAATGAGCTATGGAGATGGCTGCGTCAGTCATGGTTTTACGTTTCATACCTCTTTCTAACATAATCTAATTTGCAGCTAAGGGGTACACTTCACAACAAGAATCATCATCACAACAGAATCCCTGTGCAGCTTAATTAAGCACTTAAATGGAACATTAAGCCTAAGTTTTCTTTCCCTTTTCCCCTTTCCTTTTTATCACTTAAAGAAATTTGTGTTAACTTGCTGTATTGCAATCATTCTTAGCAGGGGAGGGGGAACCGGACTTTATGCCTTGAATTAATTAGTGCCACTACATGACCAAGAGTGACGATGGCACACCTACATCCTTCTAGCTATTGAGTAAAACAGCCTGTAATTATTTGGTAAGGAAGAAAACCTTACCAAAACACCTTATTTTCTAGGAGAATCTATCTATGGAGTTTATACAGACTATCTCCAATCTATGATTTTTCAACTTTATGATGGTGGGAAAGCCATACACATTAAGAAATTGTACTTTGAATTTTGACCTTTCCCGGGGCTAGAGATAGACGGTACCTGTACTCTCTCTCCAGATGCTGGGCCGCAGCAGTGAGTCGCAGCTCCCAGTCAGCCACACAATCATGAGGGTAAGGGACCAATACTCTACAGTGCACTGTGTTGCCAAGTGATTTTGCCCAACTTAGACTAATGCAAAGTGTTCTGAGCAAGTTTAAGGTAGGCCAGGCTAAGCTGTGATGTTGGTATGTCGGGTATATTAAATGCATTTCACCTTCAATGTATTCAACTTAACAATGGGTTATCAGGACATAACCCTATTGTAAGTCAAGGAACATCTGTATATAAAAAAAAAAGAGGCTATATCAACTTTGGATTAAAGCTTTTAACTTATATTCTGCTACATTTACCAAGAACATCACGTGTGCTGAAAATTTAATGGTGTTATCTGTGGATTCAAAGTAATGAACAAGAGCAAACTGATTTAAAATTTTAATTTCATGCACAGTCCTAAGCTGGATGTACTTAAATATAAGTGTACGGTAGAATGATCTGAACGCATATGGTGTATTTAAATACCATACATAGCCTTTACTGATATGGAAGGGAATAGAAAAAAATTGTACTCATCATGGTTTCCTTCAGGAAAAGTACTCAGTATTTTTAGAAGATAATACTCCACTTGGCTTAGAAGGGAGAGTGAGGCCCTAAAATAATAATGAACATTTTGACACAAAATGTTTTAAAAAAACATCTTGGGACATCAAATGTGATCTCTGCCTACTGCTAAGATAGTTAACCAAGACTTACTAAAAAAAATACCACTGAAAATATAAAAGTCATCATTCAAAAAAAAAAAAAAAATGTGCCAACCATAGTTTTCACTGATTTGTTTGGCTGGAGATTTGTGTCAAACGCCAATTCCACAGTTTGCTGTATAACCTTAGTCGAGTCGCCAAGTCTCTCTGAGGCCCAGCTTCCCCATCTCTAAAAATGCTGATAATATTTTACAGGGACATTGTGAAGATTAAATGAGATTAAATAAATAAAAGTGTTTTGTCAAATAAAAATTACCCAGTTCTTTTCCCTAGCCAGAATGTCTGATAAATAATGCATAGATTATGGACTGAATGATATCCACTTTGAGAAAAGGAAAAAAAAAAAAAGAGTCATTCTGCACCAAAATATTTTCACTCAGTTACATTCTGTTCACCATGTTATATAGATTCTTCAGAATACAGCTGGTTAAAATACGTAAAGGAGAAGTAGTACAAAAAATATTTTACATGTAGGATCAAATCTACTTGTCAGTTTTGCAGAAAGCTCAAATGATTTCCCAGATTGGGGTTTAAGCTACAATTAACCTAAAGAAGCAATAGAGAGATCAATGTCAAGGTGATGATTCTATTTTTTAAAATCTCAGAAGATGCTTTTATCAACACAGTGAAAGTTCAGGAAAATGAAATAAGCACCAAGAAGGATGTATTCATTTCCACCGTTCTGCAGTACTTGTTTTTCTTTCTCATAAGGCTTTTAATTGTTGCCAGTACAGTTACAATTAATAGTGGTAAGCAAAATTTGAAACCCTGATTTGACTTTGAAAAGAGTTAAATTTTCAAGGTTCTTAAGACCTTCAAGAAACTGCACACAAGCAGCAGGCATATCCCAAGGATAAGATCATGGAAAGGTACTGAGGTGCTACAGAAGGTAACCACTGGATAGAAAAAAGGACAGAAATACTAAATAAACAGAGGTGAAATTCTCACCAGAAAAAAATATTAGCCCATAAATGACATTTAAAGCTTTTTTAGGTTAGACAAGGAAATTGAGAATCCAGAGGTTTGGGAAGAATGGAAGAGATTTGAACATAGTTATTTGCCATCAAGAATGAGAACAGGGGTGTAAAGTGGAGGGATAAAGGCATAGAAAGAAGAGGTACTCAGTACTTATTTTAATAAATTAAGAAAGCTAAGCGTAACCTAAATCCTTGAAAGGATAAACGATAAGTAAATTGATTTTTCCATTCCATTAACTAGATAAGTAAGACTGTCTTTTCCCTAGAATGTAAGAGACGATTGGGCACTTTAGAGAAATGTCTCTTTTTTACACTCAAGTTTAACTACTAAATTGTGATCTGCCTAGACAAAATAAAGGTAGACCTGCCAGCCAGTCTACCTGTTCTGCCTGCCTTCCAGAGAAAACAAGAGAAACAACCTTCACTTTCTTTATGATAATCACAGTGTTATCCATAGGAACACAGAGACCGATAAAGAATATTTACATAGTTTCAAATTCTGATTGACTACCAAGGTAAAATTTAATAACGTGACAGGGAAGAAGCCTGGGACATTAACACCTTAAGCGATCAAAGTGGACATCATCAATGATGGAACAAGTCAAAACCATGCACCACCTAATTAGATGCAATATGCAGAGCACAGCATTCGTTCTGCTGCCAAGGGTGCATCTCCTGAATCTAATTATGAGGAACTAAAGTAAGCTCCAACTGAGGGACATTCTATAAAATAACAGACCTGTAATCTTCAACAGCATCAAATTCATGACAGTCAAAAAAAAAAAACACACACACACACACACACTGAATAAACTTTCAAGTCTAAAGATACGTGGCAAATAAAGGCAATGCATGATTCTTAACTGGATCCTTTCCTTATAAAGGACACTACTAGAGAATCTTGCAAAACTTCAAAGAGTTGTAAGATTTAGGTGGTAGTAATACATCGTTGTTAATTTCCTAATCCTGACGCTCTGAATTATGGTTATGTAGGAGAATGTCCTTGTGTGTATGAAATGTGTTGGGGGTTATAAGGTATCATATAGGAAAATTACTCTCAGGTGGTTCAAATAAAAAACATCTTAGAACTGTGCAAATGTTCTATAAATGTGCTATTTTTAAAAATGTATTTTGAAGTGATTGTTATATTACAAAAGAAAGAAAACAAAAGGAATACAGCTTTCAATTTGGCAATTACACATGAGAAACATGGTTTACTAGCAACAGCCAATATCACCCATGAACAAATACTACTACCTGTAATAAGCCCCCATAACCAATGATGTTTGTGTCAAAACAGCTTACATGGACTTCTGTTTGCCTTTAAAAGCTTCCCTTTACCCCCGCCCCCCAGATGGACCTATGGTCCACCCTAGCATGTGTATCCAGCATTGCAAACCCTGGCTATTCCGAAATAAACTCTGTTTTGGAGAAAAAAAGCAAAACAAAAATACCTCAGAATTTTTGGATGCAAATTAAATCAATAAAATTTTATTTTATTATGGAAAATAATGTAGATGATCTATTAATTTTTAGTTATAAATTTAAACTTCTCACCATCAATTTCAGAACTGATTAACACACTGAACTGAAAATTATTAAAAAAAACAACTACATATAGGGAATAGGGAATTGGTAAGTCTACTTGGTAAAAATCTAGGGAGATATAAATAATTAATCATACCTGAAAATTATAAAGTTGTAGCAAAAGACATAGGAATTATATTGTATGGCAGGTTGTATTTTCCCCTAAAGACCTAAAGCAATATTTCCAGGCCTACATGTGCTCTCAGAACCTCCCCATCATGTGGGACTATGTCCATACTCCATAAACCTGGGCAGGCTCGTGACTTCTCTGATCAATAGAGTACAGAAGCAATACTATGTGACTTCCGAGACTATG